GAGCCTGGAATGGTTATTACAAGCATGTCGCGTGGATTAATGATATCTTTCGTCGTCATTTCACGTAGTTCATCCTTTTCACAAGCCCCAGCAATTTCGATAATCGAACAGAACTAGTCCCTGAAATATATTTTTTGTGGAGGACTCAATACCTCTTTCTTTCTTTCGGGGTATATTATCTTCCACAAACTTTAATCAGTGGTCAACGTTTCGGAAAACAATCTTTATTCGTTTTGAAAACCTGAAATTTACTCTCGCCACACACAATTTCAGTTTTCTAAAACGGAAAAAGGTTGTTTTTTGAAACGTCGACCACTAAAGGAATATTGTGAGAGGTTATACACCCATAAAACAGTAACAAGTGGACAAAGCTGTAATAATATAACAAGAAGGCTAAGATGCCAACTTTGGACACCACGTGACCGATGCCTTCCTCGTCGGCTACACCTGCTGGATAAGGTACGACGATTTTTTGTTCAACATCATGCAGGAAGAATACGTGCCGAAGCCTCTAGNCATCAAAGGTTTCTTATGAATTAAACCAATAGTACTTTTGAGACACTTTAATTGTTCAATAGCCTCACTGGTATCTGTAAGATGACTATCGGAGTCGGTGACCCTTGATGATGTTACTACGGAAGGTGATCCACGTTGGCTTTCAAAATTAGAAATATCGCTATCTGACCTATCATCTTCAAGTAAAATATTTCTCGTGACTCCATATTGTGATGCTTGAAGACGATACGGTTGAATCTTAAAGGGTGAAGTGTAACGTGAAGTCGTGGAAACTTTGAACGGTGAAGTAGAAATACTCTTATATTGCCATTTTGTTTGCACCGCTTTGCTCCTATAATGTAAATTCACTTTTGTTGTTACTTGAACAGATTTTTCTACAGACATGATAAGGTCGGTTATTGTTCCTTTATCTTGAGACTTTGGCAATTCTGAAAAGACAAATTATTTAAATTAATTACCTATTTCTTTGATATATTGAATAAAATGCCTATAAACATATTATTATGACTTTATAAGCAGTCTAATAAATTGATTATTTACCTTCAGACTCAACAATTTCTCTTAACTCATTCTGATCTTTTTGTAAGCTTTCTTCATGGATGTCAGTAGCATTTTCACTTTGTAGACATTTTTTGACAATGTCAAGTCTTTGCCTTTTAATTGATGTTTCTCGAGAAGATCCAGGTCCACCATCAGATAGCTGTCTTTTGCGACCCTGACAATAAAATTTTGTTGGTACAGCATCATCTGTTAACAATATTTTTTTGCTGAAGCCCATGGTGTACCTCATATAGTTAGTTGTGTCTTTTTCCATCTGTAATTCAAAATATTTACTTAGCATGTGAAGTATTTGATATTGAGGGGATAAGTAATGTTTCACATCTATACATAAAATACTATACTGTATCACTAGTTATAAATCATGTTGAAATAAAATCACCATTCGTAAAGGATGGATATACACTACTTGAAACTAAGGGAAAACATGAGTAATATAACATGAATAACAAAAATAAAATATTACTTACATCAAAGTGATCTTCACACATAAAAATATTTGTGTGCGATAAAATGCTGTTAGGATCTCTTCGAGATAACTGTAACCATTTTCTACGTCTTTTGGGATTTGTTGGAACGGAAACGAACACTTTTTGTGGAGTATGTATAGATGTACTTGTACATTGTGGCACTACACACCATTTATAAACCATTTTATCTGATAAATAGACCAAAGTAATAAAATACATATAATAGGTACTGATTTTAGTTGTTTTTGATAACTGTTTACTTGCTTGAAACGTCACAATGTCACGTGACGGCAGCCATTACAGAAACAGCTTTTTTGGCGCAGGTTTAGAAATTTGAATTTTGAAAAGCATTTTTACTGAAAAATACATTTTAAATCTCCTAAATATTAATGGAGGAGATTTCTTACGTAGTAAAGATTCATTTATAATGATTTCCAAAAATTAATCAAATAGCCTATTGTTATTTCAAATAATCTTTTTCCTAGATTTTTGTTTGCTGGAGTATGAGATGACCAAATAAATGACCATTTTCAATTTGAAAAACTGATGTTACGAAAGTCGCGTAGTAGTAGGTGTCACTTTTATGGAAAAGATTCATTTCTCACTCCATGACTATGAAAAATGAAATATTTTCGTAAGACATCACATGACTCCTCAAAAATTCGGGGCAATCTTGCAGTCTGTAATGTAAACCAGGTAATTTTTGATGAAATACAGATTATTTATTCATACATATCTTTTTTCTGCTACTGCTACTGGTTCCACCCGGCATCGCCCGGTGAGATAGCGGAGACCGGGGCAGGTTGTAACAAAAAAAGTTTACAATTTTTTTTCTCGAAAACGATTTCTTCAATCAGGTTCACCAGGTTCAGGTTCACCAAAACCTTTTTTATTACTTTCTTCACTTGTGAGTTCATAATTTCTTTCTGCTTTTTAGATTTGCGTTTATTCTGTTCTTCTTCCAGGGCATTTTTTTCTGGTGTGTCAGTTAGAATGGCAGATTTACGTTTTTTCTTACCCTATTTGTTTTGTTTCTTTGTTCAGCTTTAGGGAGTGGCCGAACAAACTCTGGAGAAAATGCAGCCTTGTCTTTGAAGGTGTCTTTAAAAGGAGCTCACTTGAAGTAATGTCACCATCCTGCTTGGTTCCTGTTACGGCGATAATTTTACTAACTTTTTGTAGTTACACCCGTCTCATCGAGATTCCAAATCTGAAAAGCAGTTAAACCGTATCTGTCTCTAACATTAGCTAGCTCATTAGCTCATCAGCTAGCTCAAAAAATAAGGAAAGATGAACTCTATTGAAATTCGTTACTCTTTGTAAGCTTGTATGTAGGTTCTGGGGTCTAAATAGAGAGCGCCCTATTTTTTTTAGAAAATATGTCTGCCAATCTTGTCTACCACACTTGTTCTCCTTCCAGGAGTTTGGAACTTCAATATCATTATGCAAGGCACACACACATTAACAGTTGTACAAAAAATGTTGTTTTGTATTCCGTATATAAAATTCGTGGGACACTCGAGAGAATCATCACTCTCATGTGCCATTAAAAAAACACTCATTTTACGCACTTTATACAAAAAAACTATTTCATCACTGCTTTTTCATGTCCCAAAATTTCCAGTGGGTGAAGTTATATTTAGTATTAGCATTGCACCCGTACGGAACCAGTGCGGTTCGCTAGTCTCCAATAAAGCATAGTAACCAAAAAGAGTCACTTGATTTAGATCGACTAATGATTATGATTTTTGTATTTCAACTTGTATGCATTTCTTGTGAATCTGGACATTTCTTCTATTATATTCATTTGAAATGACTTCCAGTCTTTATCTTGAAAAAACTATGTTTTCTGCAAATACCGTAACGTTCTTTTTCTCCAATTCCATTCGTGGAAATGAAATCTCTTCTTTGTTTCAGTACATCGGGACTCAAGTTGCCGGCTTTATATTCGGTCTGTCTGGAGCGTCTGTACTGCTGGATAACAGCGCTAGAGATTCCCATTTCCAGCCCAGGATCCGAGAAAGTATGCGACGACTTATCATGAATGCCCATCACGAGGAATCCAGACAAACACTCGCCATGATTCAGGAGAATGTAAGTGACGTTTATTTTTGTTTTTCTATGAGTGTTCTTCTCGGTCTTTGTGACGCTTCTGTAGTGGGATATTTTGATATATCGGTTCTGATCTTGGTGAGCAGATGAGATTGTGTTTATTCGAAGAGTGAGAGTCGCTAGTTCCGTTAACATCTAAATATTGATGAAGTCTAGTTTCTCTATCCACTTTCTAGACACTAACATGAGAAAATCACGAATTGCAAATGTTTAGCTGACGACACAAAATAATTTATTATATGAGTTCAGTGAATGCTATACAGACATTGGTATATCTTAAACGCTCTGGCGTAAAATATATCCAAAACAAGCACTGTTTCCAAACACAAGATCTGCAACACTCTTCTCGATGCCCGTTCCACAAACCATCTACCAAAGAAAATACATTGAATTGAACTAATCAATTATGAAGTGTAGGAGTCACACAAGTCTGCTGTACTGCTATTCATTGGTGAAAGTATTCATCTTTTCGAAGTGTTTTCTAAAAAAAAAACGGACAGAAACAACTGCAGATACTGAAATAATGTGAATTCAAAGTTATCTTTTTATATCCAGAGTATTGAATATTACTGGAGTTTTATCCCAACACCAAACTTTTATTTTTAACGCTTCGACACGTGTTTCGATCACCATGTGATCATCTTCAAGGGAAATAATAAACTGTTTGAATCAGCTCGATCTTCCTTCTGGATATGATCACTTGGTGATTGAAACACGTGTCGAGGTGTTGAAAATAACGGTTTCATGTTGGGATAAAACTCCAGTAATATTCATTACTACACCAAAGTTTCCAAACAAATTCAAAGTGTTCATCATATAGTTCAATTCTCTAGAAGATCTACGCAGAAAAAATGTAGATCAGTATCGAGCAGTGCCTCTAGAAATATTGAGAAATTTTACATTGGAAATATTCCATATGATAACATCTTGATTATTATATTTTTTCGTTGAATTTTTCATACTACGCTGCAGTCACGTTTTTCTTTCTCAAAATGCGATACAATATTTCAGTGTATCTCGCAAAAAATTCATCAATAAAACGCGTTTCAAAGAACACGCAGTACATATGCGTTATCAGAGACCATAAGAATCTGGTGACACCCAACACGCTTTGAAAAACGGCCATTGAAAAAATTGAAACTGTATGGAATTGTTGATATCAGAACATGACACTAGATTTTTGGATGAAAAAAGCAAAGAGTGTATGAGAAATATGAATAGTAACAAAGGCCCCATACCACACAGTCCAATGTTCACCTCTATATGATTTACTCTGTTGAAAATTAGCCGCAATTTCCAAGACAAAATTGCCTGCGAATTTCTACCCGAAAACATTGATGTGTATTGGAAAATGGAAGTGTTGGATATGAATAGAGACCAGTGAGTAAAGAATTAGTTAACTTCATCTCCCGAAGTCAATAAATTGGTTGGTAAAACGCTCGTCGAAAAAAGTATTACAGTTCTGGTGTTTGACAAAGGGGCTTGTTTTGGATTGAATGCTAATAATGAATATATCAAAATAAGTATCATATCAATTGGAAATCAATGGATAGTTCCAAAATATTTCAACAAACACTCTCTAGAGTAACGAGTTGTTGTACATGATCTAATCAGTACAGTCTATACAAACCCAATTTGCAGCGTTGATTGGAAGGATAATGATCCCGAGAGACGAAATCAGGACTCAGAACGCAACTGGTTTAACGGATGATCGTGTAACGTCAATTACGAATACGGAGCCGTAGAGAATCGAAATTGTGTTACGGGTTGCCTACCAATTTCGGTTTTAATTTGTGCGATCTTTTGATATCGCTGTCCGACCATACAAGTCATTATCTCGCTGGTGAAGTGGCTAGTCTATCGGTTGATATTCGGTTTTTCATATTCATGTTTCCCAGGGGGACACGACAAATTGTATGTGGATGAAAGGGCTTCGTTCGATATTGCTTGATGGTTTGGCTGATCACGCGTGTCTTTAATGAATGTGGTTTGTGTCTTCTTTTTGCGATTTGTTATTCGTAAATTATACCAGATGAATTATACTCAATACTGAGACTGTACAAACCTTGTGAATCAAGTCAACTTCAGTTTTGAGGAAGACACATTTCTATGTTAAAATCAATCCCTTGTCAGCCACTCCTGTGTCGAAAGTTCAGAATGAAAATTATTGTCTCTTAGTTGTATCCAATCCTATAAAATTTTTATATAATATTGAGCAATGTTAGCGATATCAGAAGAAAATAAAATACTGTTATGAATTTTTATAGCATTTCGAAATGGAAAGTGAAACGTTATTGAAAAATTCACCTCATCGAATGTTCGATTTAGCTCCATCAACTTGCATCAGCGATATAAACGAGCTTCTTCCTCCCTCATACTATGAAGAATATCATGTATCAGTAGCCTACAGCATTTGGTATTTCCTTCACATGAATTATTTACATCAGTTGGCCTTGTGAAGTTTTGATTTCAATCATTCCAGTAAAATAAATTATCATAGAATCAAGTCAAGGAATCTGGGTGGCCATTATACAGAAAGTCTCGCTCCATCCGATAAGTTATCATCTAGGAACTGTCGCAGTGGTACTAGGCGATTGGAAAGAGCCACGTCTTGATGGAAAACTATACATTTCTCAGAAATTGAAATCTGAACGGGCATAATAGATGTACTTGAATTATCTTGAGTACTATAAAAGCCAGTTTTCCAGAAAAAAAAATTATTCCGATTTTGAAGGAGCTTTGTTTTAGCACTTTGAATGAATTTGGGAAAGGATTGTGCCTTGAATGACTGAAATCATTTTCATGGATTTCCAGTAATTGAATACATGTAAATACCGATGGCAGTGCTATATCCCCATTTTTTAAAGTGGGGCTTACAATGATCTCTATAACTGATTTTCACCAAAATTCTGACTGTTTGTATATGATTGTATAAATGTTACACAGTTTTCTTTTCAGTTCATTGATATATGTATATCATAATAAATTTCGATCAAGTAGTCCCAGTAGTTTCAGCACTATCATCGTCATTGTTAGTGGATGCGGTCGTAAACAAGAGTAGGTGAGTCGTGCTCTTGTTCAATTTTAACTGATTTGTTGTGAACCACATAACCGGCTGACTCAGAATATAATGAATGGTCTATGCTAATTCTCATGATGATGGTTTCATAGTCAAAAATGTGTTCATCCACATAAACAGCTTGGGTTCTGTTACATGAGTATGGCCTGATTGGTATCCCCTCACTCCAAAATACTCTAACTTCTTGAGAAGGCCGTCTTTCGAGAAGCAGTTGAGTGCTTC